AGGTAATGATAGATGCATTTTTTTCTTTTTTTAGAAAAATAAAGATAGCTTAGATAACCAAATTAAATTTAAATGTACACCGAGACATAATATAATGATAAGTGAATGTACGATTTAAAAATAGTTTTTTCTGCTAATATTTTAAAAAAAAAATTGTCCTATTCAAACTCAAATTTGTTAAAATTTACTGTTTATACACGTTAAACATATCTAACTAGTAATTTAATGAAAAAATTATATAATTTTAATTTAGTTTACATTATTACAAAAAATAATTAATCCTAAGGTCATACTATTTTTTTAATGGACCTCAGGTAGCGACTATCAAATGTAATAAATACGGACCATATTCAAATACGAAATGAGCAATTTCCTTTTACTCATATCTACTTTACACATATGGAATGTAATAAAGACGAATCATAAATTATCTTTGGTAAATTCATAAACAAAAATAAAAATTAAACACTAATCAAAATATGTTAAACGTTCAATACCATAATCAACGTTCCCATAAAATGGGCTTGAAAAGTTTGAAATTAATAAATAAGGAAATAAAAGTAATTTAAAGAAAAAGGTTATGTTGATGATGATCATGATGTTGGCATTTAATTTAATTTCATGAACAAGTCTGTCTATTTATGGGGCATCTCCGGAGGCTAGGCATGGCCACCCGTTCGGTTCTAACCTGAACCGAACAAGAACCAAACCGTACTGTAGACGAATTGGAACCGGCGGTTCATAATTTTGAATCGGAATCGGCGGTTCAAGGGCCGGTTAAAATTCATGTAAATCTTAAAATATGAACCGGAACTAGCCAGGAACCGGCAGTTTTGGTCCGGTTCGAACCAGATGCACAAAAAATTATAGCTTAAAATTCTTATAAAAAAATTTATATCACTTGATTTGATTATAGTTGATTTGATTTATGGTGAAGAGAAGTACAATAGTACATAAGTTATAAAAAGTGGTGAAAAAAACATAAGTTTTATAAAAAAGTGGTTGAAAAAAAATACACATTTTTTTACTTTAATTTCTATACAAAAAAATAGGTGCAATAATAGTTGATTTATATAAAAAATAATAATAATACAAAAAAAAAAAATAACAATACTTTTCAAGTGCATAAAAAACAGAGATGTACACACGAAACTAGTTCTTGAATATGATAGGTGTTTTGTTATCTTATTTTTTGGTAAATAATTTTATTCATTTTTTACATCATTTATTATTTATTTACTGTAAATTTACTTAAATTTTCCAAAAATATAGTTTATCGTATATTTTTCTATTATAACGGACAATTATGGGAAAACTATAAACTGCAGAACACCTGATATACAATGATCGATGAGTTTGACTGACTTTTTTATTTCACAACAAATATATATTTCTTAATTCTTTCTCTTATTCTCAATCAAATTCCTCTTCTCAAATTTTCGTATTTCCATTATTTTTTCTATTGCTTGTATTTTTCCTTATATTGAATTATCTAATTGTTTCATTTATTTCTATTTTCTTAGATCCATTTCATTCTATTCTCTATTCTCATTTTTTCCATTACATAATTTACCTTCATTTGATTTTTTTAATAATTTTTAAGTAATCTTGAAAATAATAAGTTATTAAACTCATTCATTAATTTTATATTCCATTTAGAGTTTCCTATATATAGTGCATTAGCAAAACTTTGTAAATTTAATTGTATAACTAGTTCCAGTTAGTTAATAGAAGTTTCTTTTTAAATTTATAATTAATTTCATTTAGTTAAAAAATCTTAAATATTTAATAATTTATTTAGTTAATAAAATTTAAATATTTTAAAATTATTATTTATTTATGAATTCGGAATCAAAATTTTATTATTTTTTTAAAAATTTGCGTACTGCCGGAACCAAATCGGAACGGTAATTCAAACCGTCGGTTCACCGGAACCGTGCCGAACCGTACCGGAACCAGAGGTTCAAGAGTTGATTCCGGTTCAAAATTTTAAACATCTCAAATCGGCGGTTTACTGAACTTGTCATGCGTACCGGAGGCCTTGATTAGGCATTTTATGTCCTGAAAATGGGAAACACAAACCATAACAAGGTTAGGAGAGAGTAAAACAGCTTTGATTGGTTTAAACAGCTTGTCAATCCACTCAATTTTAATTAATTCATTTTAAATAGTAGGCCCTATATCGATTAATTATGGCTTTCTTTTTAGTTGTAACTACTAAAAAAATTAAATATTACAACAGTTTAAAGTTCATCGTACAGTCCGCTAAAAGGAAGAAAATTAAATATTAGACCGTTGAATCTGAAACCTGGTTCAGACATCACTCTTATCACTGGGTCATGGATCATTTGCTTAAAAAAATAAATATCATCACTTCCACTTGTTCTCTATAAGTACAACTAGTCCAAAACATGCTAGCTAGCAGAGGAGGCAGTTGGGCCAGGCAGTAGAGCCTGTTCATCGGATGGCGTTGGACCTTATGACATAATAATAAGAAAAGAACTATGGCTGTTCATATTTAAATAAGAACTATTAAGTATATTTTTTTCTTTATATTCATATAATTTGATGGAATATATATTTTTAAAAATAAATTGTCAAATAAAATATATATAGTTAAGTCTTTTAAAATATTTTAAATAAAATGAATATGTGTGCGTGAGATTACTAATAATTGAAATTTTTAATTTTAAAAATACATATAATATTTTATTTTAAAATACATATAATTTTTATTGTTATATATATATATATACTATATACTATATATATATTGACGTATTATATATTAATGTTCGTAGAATTTGTATTTGGTATCAATCATAATGGAATTTTTTAAATAAATGACGATATAAATTTGATTGAAGTGTGATGGTATATAGACATTGTTGTTATTAATTTAACTGTTATATTCGTATTAATCTTTAATCTCATATGAAATTTTATTTTAACACTATAAACATCTAAATAATATAAGATAAAATTATAATCAATATTTAATATTAAAAAATAAAAATAAAAATAAATAACAAATAAAAATAAGCAACAAAGAAAAAGAATGGTTAGCAACCTAAAGGGGAATGGCAAAAAATCTCTATATTTTATAGTTTGACAAGAGATTATTAGTCTTTTATTTGGATTGAATCCAGAATGCCGAATTTAAATTCACTATCTTATAAACTAAATGATTAAGAAATGATATATAGTTATATATATTTATAATTGTAAGAAGAATTTTATCTTTTCATCCAATAAGTTATAATAGTTTATTAAATCAGCTCTAAAATGAAAAATTTTTCATTCAGCTAAAATAAAGTTTATTTTTTATTGTCTGAATGAAAAAGTAGAAATTTGAATAAAATATCAATAAGTTTAAACAAATAACTCCTAATTGAAAAAAAAAAAAAAAAAAAAAAAAAAAAAAAAAAAAAAAAAAAAAGAAGAGAAAAGGGTAAAGATATAAAGCAATGGGTATCAAAGATGCTGAGGCACATGAAAATTAATTAATGGCACTAGCGTAAAGAGTCAACTTTAATTTTGATTCGACATGTCTTGTATCACCACGACACTACCCGCATCACACTTTCAATGTTTAACAAAATAATTCTATTCACTAATGAAATAAAATTTAATAATAAAACATCCATATAAATAGTCCAATAATAACGAATCAAATCTTATTAATAATAATAAAAATGATGGAATATATCCCATAACTAAAATTGTCTATGTCTCTGTTTCTCCATCACTCTTGAAATTCATTTTGAAACTATAAATGAAAGGGCAATACAAAAATATTGATTATATATGTATCACCTACGGAAATTATCATTATCATTTGATTATCACCTAAAAAATATTATTAAATTATGTTAGAAAATAAAATAATGATGGAAGAGAAATAATAAAATCTATTTCACATTAAAATTTTTTTCAATTCATTTTTTTTTCTTTAATTTGAAGATGTTCTAATTTTACAGGCTTGAAATGAAGGGATATATTTTCTTTCTTAAAAAAAAAAAAAAAAAATTTCTGAATAGTAGGCAAAGCCTTAATTTATCATAATTTGAAATAATTTAAATAATAAATACTCCCTCTATCACATACAAATAGACTTATTTTTATTTTTAATTGTCCCAAGCTTTCCTTTTCTTAAAGTATAATTGGTTTCTTAATTTTCTAATATATCAATATTTAACAAGCCATGTAATTAATAATTTTCCATTTGATTTTTTTATTGAAAGAAATATTTATATAAAGGTATATTAAAAAATATAGATAAAATTTATTGCTCAAATAATACTCCCTCCATGTACTTTTGTTAGTTATTCTTAAGATCGAAATTGTTTTGCTCAAAATTATTAGTTGCTTTGAGAATATTAAAAAGCATCAATTATAATTATTTTTTAATTTTACATTTAACTCTATTAAAAATAATAATTATTTTCACAAGTTAATAAAATTTTATCTTATCACTCCCAAATGGAAGAAAACTACTGATACTAGAGTAATTAAATGAGATAACAAAATATTTTAATTAAACTAAAGAGAATTTTAATATTATTTAAATAATTTAATTACTTTTTCATTATTATGCAAAAAATTTTAAGTAATAAATATAAGTGGATAGAGGGAATATTAATTACTTTTTTTTAAATATATGGAAATAGAAGAAGCTCGTCACTGGCTCCCCTTGTAGCTTGGTGGTCTTGGACCCTTGGTAATTATTTGCAATTTTACACCGGCTAATCATGCCGTCGCCAATTCAGTGCCCAAGGAACTAGACCTGATTTGGGCCGCTTCATTCATCCTTTTGTTTGTTTGGGTCGCCATGAGCCCAGCTTGTATTAGGCCGAGATGAAACCCAAATATCTAAGCTTCTAAAATGGATCAATATGAAACCCGAATAGAGATTGGTTTGATTGTATTCGAATTCCCAATTCAAGCCCTTAGAGGGTATATATATTTGTCTTAGAAGTTAAAAACCCTAGCCCTCTTCACTTTCTTAGGGTTTACAAGTTGCACCAGGAGTGGCATAGCTGCGGCTCAAACAGGTCCTAAATCTTAATCTCTTTCTCCATCTTTTCTACTTTGTCTTTGCATTTGTTTCTTTTATCGTGAGATGTCTTACTGAAAATGACTAAGATTAGCAGGTCTGTTCATTTGTAGCGTACCTATGCTATTGAGAATGATTATTGGATTTTTTATCCATTTTAAGTGGATGATTGTGGTCATGGTTTGGATTTTGTAATTATGTTATTGTTTTATAGATCTAATTTTATTGAATGACTGCATTGAAGTAACCTATTTAAATGTTTGCTTTTGTATAGTTATTTATAATGAAATCATTTCTTATTGTACTTATAATCTTGAAATTAATAGGATTGAGTATAGAAAAGTCATAACCAATGACTGTCGATGGAATTCTATTGATGGATTCTGTTCAAATTTTTTTATCTTTAATTTAAATACACTATAAATTTAATTTTCACGTAAGTTATGAATAAACTCTAATTCAACAAAGGGCAATGGCAGATTTTGCCTCTTGTTTGTGTTAGTTAATGAGATATATTTACTCAGTCATAGAGTTTTGATAGAAACTGTGAGTTCGTGATCTCATATTATCTGCATTTGTGTACCTTTTTCTCTTTTCCAGCTATATGTAAATAAATGAAAGTTTTTATAACTGATTTTACGTTCCCCTCTTGTCTGTGTTTTAGATACAATGGCGGTTCCTTTGCTCTCCAAGAAGATTGTGAAGAAGAGGGTAAAGAAGTTCAAGAGGCCCCAGAGTGATAGAAAGATATCTGTCAAGGTCTGATTTACTGTTTATTTTCCTTGAATTAGATATGACTTATTGGATTGTGTGAAAATTTCCTGGCCATGCGCATCTTTAATGTAAATAAATAATGAGCATTATGTGGTTGGTAGATGTCTTATCAGTCTCGCCTTCATTTTTATAAGTCATGGGTTTAGTTGCTTTATGTTTAAATTAGATTTTGATTGGATAGATCCTAGTTCCTTTGTTTTTTGTTTGAATTGCATGCAGTTTTGTTTTAATTTTATCCGTGTACAATAAGCCGATGCTCTGGATACTCAATGAAGGTAGCATGGTAAGGTGCACGGAAATTGAATTACATTGGTCTACATGTCTGCTCCCTCTGATGCCTCTCCTTGGAGGCATTTGATTTGGGGGCCTGGTTATGACCCACATTTCATTTGCTCTCATCATTCTTTTTTGCAAATATTGTAAATTTGAATTGTTGGATTCATTTATTATTTGTTTAATGTCATACTTGATGTTCTCTCTTCTAGGTTGCTGATTTCTGTATCAAGACCTTGTGTGTAATTAGATTTTGAATGGGTGGACTGTTGCTGGTTCTGTAGTGTTTGAATTGCATGTAGTTCTTTTTAAAATTTTGTTATCTGTGTACAATAAGCCGATGCTCTGGACAGAATAGCACAATGAAGGTGGCATGGTAAGGTGCACAGAAATTGAATTGTATTGGTCTACATGTCTGCTCCCTCTGATGCCTCTCTAGGAGGCTTTTGATTTGGGGGCCTGGTTCTGACCCACATTTCATTTGCACTCCTCATTCTTGTTGTGTCAAACATTCTATATTTGAATTGGTTGAGTCATTTATATTTGTTTGATGTCATTCTTGGCATTCTCTCTTTCTAGAACTAGGTTTCTGATTCCTGTATCAAGAGCTTCATTTGCATTGTGTTCAAATTAGATTTTGAACGGGTGGACATCAGTTGCTTTTCTATTTTGCTTTAATTCCATGTAATTCTTATTAAAATTTTGTTATCTGTGTACAATAAGCGGTGGACATCAGTTGCTTTTCTATTTTGCTTTAATTCCATGTAATTCTTATTAAAATTTTGTTATCTGTGTACAATAAGCCGATGCTCTGGACAGAATACACAATGAAGGTGGCATGGTAAGGTGCACAGAAATTGAATTATATTGGTCTACATGTCTGCCCCCTCTGATGCCTCGCTAGGAGGCTTTTGATTTGGGGCCTGGTTCTGACCCACATTTCATTTGCACTCATTCTTGTTGTGTCAAATATTCTATATTTGAATTGGTTGAGTCATTTATATTTGTTTGATGCCATTCTTGGCATTCTCTCTTTCTAGAACTGGTTTCTGATTCCTGTATCAAGAGCTTCATTTGCATTGTGTTCAAATTAGATTTTGAACGGGTGGACATCAGTTGCTTTTCTATTGTGCTTTAATTCCATGTAATTCTTATTAAAATTTTGTTATCTGTGTACAATAAGCCGATGCTCTGGACAGAATTACACAATGAAGGTGGCATGGTAAGGTGCACAGAAATTGAATTATATTGGTCTACATGTCTGCCCCCTCTGATGCCTCGCTAGGAGGCTTTTGATTTGGGGGCCTGGTTCTGACCCACATTTCATTCGCACTCATTCTTGTTGTGTCAAAAATTCTATATTTGAATTGGTTGAGTCATTTGTATTTGTTTGATGCCATTCTTGGCATTCTCTCTTTCTAGAACTGGGTTTCTGATTCCTGTATCAAGAGCTTCATTTGCATTGTGTTCAAATTAGATTTTGAACGGGTGGACATCAGTTGCTTTTCTATTGTGCTTTAATTCCATGTGATTCTTATTAAAATTTTGTTATCTGTGTACAATAAGCCGATGCTCTGGACAGAATACACAATGAAGGTGGCATGGTAAGGTGCACAGAAATTGAATTATATTGGTCTACATGTCTGCTCCCTCTGATGTGTCTGTACAATGCTTTTGATTTGGGGGCCTGGTTTCTGACCCACAGTTTATTTGCTTTTCTCTTTCTCCTTGTCTCATAAAGTTGTTTCCTAAAGTGGCAAAATGTAATTTATCATGTTGCTGACAAATTCCTACTTTTAAGGGATGTTGCTCTCTTTTCCTCATTCAAGGGTTATGACTTGGATTTGATTGTGATTCTTGATTTCATCTGGGTCTTGCAAGATTCTGTGATGTAGCTTTGAGGTGTCCATGTTTGAATTTATTCTGAACAAGAGCTTTGTTCTGGTTTCAGGAAAACTGGCGGAGGCCCAAGGGTATTGATTCAAGGGTAAGGAGAAAGTTCAAAGGATGTACTCTGATGCCCAATATTGGCTATGGATCAGACAAGAAAACTCGCCACTATCTTCCCAATGGATTTAAGAAGTTTGTCGTGCACAATGTGAATGAGCTTGAACTTCTGATGATGCACAACAGGTATAGCTCTTTAAATGTATTCTTGAACAGCTTATTTAAGATACTGTGATGCTTATTGTTAACTTAATTCCAGGACTTACTGTGCTGAGATTGCCCATGATGTATCCACCAGAAAGAGAAAGGAGATTGTTGAGCGTGCAGCTCAGTTGGATGTTGTTGTTACCAACAAACTGGCTAGGTTGCGGAGCCAGGAGGATGAGTAAACATTATGTTTATTTTGCTATTGCCTATACTCTTTGCATTAGGCTGATGAACCTTATTGGTATTATTTTGTTTTGGGTTGAGTGTTGGTTAATTTTGAATCTAAACCTGTTTTCTGCTACAAAGTATATGATGGACACCTTTAATGATTGGCTTCTCGTGTTATGCCTTGGTCATTTAGCTTTACCCAAAGATAACAATCTTAACTGCTCTATCCCTCTTTTAAATGAAAAATTACAGTTTCATGTGGGATTGAAGCTTGAATTTTCTATGGAGTATTTGTACTGTAGAGTTGAAAAATTGAATGCGAAAATTTTGTTACATTATTTTCTGACTTCATTTTAATTTGAATTATATAATGGTGAATTTTTATTTAGAAAGTTTAGTAATGTGAAAATAAATTTGATTTCAAAGTTGAGGGGTATGATGCTTTTGACGGCATAATTTGGAACCTAAAGATTATATGGTCTAAGAACTAGGAAGTCAATTTAGGATGTGGCCACCATTATCCGGGGATGGTCTTATTGGGTGGCCAAAAACCAAGGTTTGAAGACCCGTCCATTTCATTATTAATTGTATCTTATTTATAATTTTAACAATTTTTCGTTTGTTGCTTTAAAATTGACCAATTAAGTGTATGGAATGAATGCACTTTGCTATCCATTTTTATTTATTGCATAATAAAAAAATCACTAATTTGACAGTTAATATATGCATGATTGTATAAATTCCATTTCAAAAAGCGAAAAGATGGGATTTATATATGGAATTATCTTCTCAGCATGGGAAAACATATAGGTATTAGTATTACTTGTTAAGTGGTAAAAGACCAAACTAGACCATTAGAATTGGAGACACCACACCACTACACTTAAAGCAACAGTGCGCATCTCTTATGTCATCACACGAACCAAAATATTCTGAACATATGAAATCCATCAACAGTGCAACTCATCATTCTCTTTCAGTGTATTATTTAACAATTGAGACTTGAGTATCAAACATACACAAGCACTCATATTTTAGCATATATTTTGAAGAAAAGTATATTTTGAAAGAAAGAAAATAGCTACGGAAAATATTTAAAGAAAGGTGAGAAATAATGAAGTAATCAAATAAAAATATGATTTATTTTCTTTATATCTAAACATAAAAGTAAAAAACAACTACAGAAAAATAATTCGAAAGTTATCATTATTTTTCTCTACTATTTTTTTTTCCTCTCCTTTTGAAACAAACCTTAGTCCTAAATTTTTTTTATCTAGTTCTAATTAATGTTTTAGCATGTGTATGATATGCTAATTTTTTTTTTATGAGAATTGTGATGTGAAAATACATTCTGTTGCATGTGCTTAATAAAATAACCACTTACTTATTTCATCTTGCGAAGCTAACTAATAACCACCACTTAATGAAGTAGTTAACAGTTGCTATAGGCCTTGATAGTTGATACAACTAACTTGTGGGCATTATTCATTAATTAATAGAGTTTTTCTACTTTTATTTATTTATTATTATTTGGTGGCTAAGAGGTCCTAAATCTCTCAATTTGGTCTTGAGATTCTCCATTATTCTAAGGTAATGAAAATCTAGGTAGCAAAGTAGCAAAGTCCCTTTATCTTAAGTTTCTCAAAGTTGGTATGATTGATCCATTGACTATTTCTATCTCAAGCCATATTAGATCATTTGGTTTTAATAGTCAAAACCCAAATGAGAAGCAATACAGAAGTTTTGTTTGTCTCACCAGCCACTCACTTAATAAAATACTTAATGCTGCTTTAATTAAAATTAGAAAAACTAATTGAGAATAAATTAGATTTAGATGACAAAATTTTATTTTTTTTATATTACTTGGGATGACACTAACTATAACTCATCAATTCACTTAAATTTTATCTGAAGTTTCGTTAGAAAAATCAAGAAAATATTGAATGAATTAGATTATAATTTTCAAGAGTGGATTGTAAAAAGTTATTTTTGTATATATTTTTAAATATTTGTGATTATTTTAAATTATTTGGAAGTGAATAATATGTTTTTATTAAATTGTACAACTCATGTGAAAGCTATAACTATATTCAAATTATCAGAAAATAATATGAAAAATAAAATGTGAGGCCACTGATGAACGGTTTGGAATAGGAAAAAAGATTTGGTCCTAAAAATTAATCCACCATACCTAATAAATTCTTATTTCCTATCATGGGGTACTGAATTTTGGATGTTAAGATGACAAATCAAGACCAGTTTGTGCAATGTCTGGCAATTACACAATATGCATGTGGAACAGTTGTCTGCCTCTACAGCAAAAATAAATATTATTATGTTTCCATTTTTTCATCCACAAATTATCATCATCATCATCAATAAAATTAAAAATCTTTCTCCTAAAAATATTTTTTTTTTCACAAATTATATTTATAGTTTTAATAAATATTCACTAGCCAATTATGGATGCAATATATATAAATCTATAGTTAAAAATAATAGAAATTGACTGGACCAGCAATCTCCTCAGCCAATGGAATCGTTCTTGCCCTTTTTTAAAGAAAGAAACACTGCCTTATTTGACCATCTATCAATGCCCATCTATAGGAAATATTGAAGAAAATTTTGTCGATTTTGAAAAATGTATGGATTTGAAAATTTATTGTTATTATTATTATTGGAGGTCATTGTTAATTTGTTAGGTTTGGAATTGAAATTTTAATCTTGAAGTGCAGCTCAAGGACATGGAGCAATAAACAATTCCACTTATTATACTACAAGTCGTACTTAGCAATTTTAATAATACAGCCAAGAAATGTCACCACTCACCATATCAACTGAGATTAAAATATCTTGTCTGTCTTGCAACTCAAGATTGTCTCTTCTATAATGCTAGATTCTTCATTTTTCAATGACATAAAATGAAAATGTAAAACCCATATGGTTCCAACCAACTAAAAGAAAAGGAAAAGCAAAATGAGGCCCCTTCCTTAATCCCTTAAAGGGATACTGAATTTCCACCTAAAATTCCATGGAAAGGGAAAGCATCCAAGTGGGTGGAAAAACAAACAAGGCATTTTATTTTATCCATTCCTTTTTCATTCTTTCTTTCTTTCTTTCATGAGTTTAACCTTGTATAAGAAGTCTAAACATGACCATTCATTTCTCTAGAAAACTTTGGTGCAAATTTCCACAAATTCCACTTTATCCTGTCTCCACAATTCAAGGATTTTTTTTTTTTTTTTAATTTTTTTAGAAAAGAGGAAACTTCCAATTACCTTGAGTAAAAGAAATAAGAATGTTCTTTATACAAATCTTTACTCTCTTTTAAGTAAAAACCCAGAAGCTATGTTTGGTTAAATATAATTTATATAATGAGATGAAAATTACATTATACAACTAATTCCCAGGTTGTAATGGATTTTTTTTTTACTCAATGAGTATTTTTACCATTATTTAGTCATTTCATAAAAAATAAAAAAAAAAACCTATTACAATCACTTAAAAGATAAATTTCAATTAAACTTAACTTCAAACTATCACCTTGACTGAGCTTTTTGTTTAAATATTTATGTTGTTTTAATAATGATGTGGTTGTAGTTTAATTAGATTAAGTAGAAAAGATTAAAAAAATTTCTCCAAAATCTGATTGTTTTATTAATCTCGTTATATTAATGAAGGAATAGGCCACCAGACTCCAAAAGGAAAAAAAAGATCAGTATATATAAAACATTAATATTTCTCTTCTTAGTACTCAAAAACAAACAATTAAAACTTTATTCCAATCCAACATCAGATTACCATTTCAAAATATGAGATTTTACAAGTTTAATTTTAGTAAATAATCCATCGAACTTGATAATCTTTAATATTGAAATCTAAATTGAATCAAAATTTCAATTTCACCTCAATTTTCTTTCAGAAAAAAAAGAGCTATATTTGATCAAACCAAACAAAAAATTGAGTTTGCAAAAAGAAAAAAAAAAAAAACATAAGTTGAATTAAATTTCTAGAAGTGTATATATATCTCATCTATATACATATATTGGAGTTTGAAATTCTAAAAATAACCTATACCAAGGTAAACGTCAAAAAACAAGAAAATTGTTATTTTGGTGAGGGTGATTACTGAGTCCTGTAACCCACACTTCTTGGCATTTGATCACCGTCTCTTCTTGTCGAGTATCATTATTAATTTCGTTTTTACTTTTACTGTCGTCATCAACTTTTTGTTTTTCAACTTCACCTTTCTCAAATATTTTTTGGACAAATGACTCCACATCAATCTTCATAATTCCCTGTTTACCCTCATTTGCCCAATACTCGTAAGTCCCCAGCGGAATGTACGGTGGTCTCTCCACTTCCAATACCATATCCCAATCAATGCCCTTGAAAAAATCGTGCCCTTTGATTTCGTCAATTTTGATCCTCTCCTTCGGATCTTTAACTAGCAATTTCCCTATTAGGTCTCTCAACGGCGTCGCTTCACCTACAAGATCCGGCGATTTCGTTAAAATCCTGTAAAAAGTCTCTTTCCTATTGCAACCCTTAAACGGCGTCACTCCATACAACATCTCGTATAACACGATTCCTAATGACCACCAATCGACGGCCAAGTCGTGACCGTAGCCTTGGATGACTTCCGGCGCAACGTACTCTTCGGTTCCGACGAACGAGTTCGACTTTCCGGTTGTTGCAGTTGCGTCTGATTCGGGTGATACTGGTCTAGGATTTGATTCGGACAACTCGTCCGGCGAAATTCCCGAGTTGCAACACCGGTGGAAGGGCGACAATCTTTTCTTGCCTGCTTTAGGGACTGACTTGGAATTTGGTGATTTTATATTCGATTTTGGAGAAAGTTTGGTAGAGAGATCGAAATCTACAAGCATTATATGACCATTTTCTTGAATAAGAATATTTTCTGGTTTCAAATCTCTGTAAGCTATGCCCAAGTTGTGAAGATACTCCAATGCGAGAACCATTTCAGCAGCATAAAACCTAAAATAGAAAAATTCAATTTAGCGACAGAGGAAATGAAAAATTAAAAAAAAAAAGGGAAATTTCTAAATAAATACATAGTTAACTAATTACCTGATCGTATCAACAGAGAACATTCTCTCGCTCTGTTGCTTTCTCAATTGATTAAGATCACGTCCAGGACAAAAATCAATGGCGTAACCGACAATTTTATCAGTACACAAAATACCACGCAATCTAGGAAAGAGTGGATGCTTAAATTGGCTCAAAACTTCGCGTTCAAAGCAAATCCTTTTGTATTCACTACCATCAGATACAACTTCTTTATCACTCTTCTTCTCTACCAAATCTCTCAATATCACCTTCAAAGCACACAAATCACGGCTTTGCTCTTCTTTAACCAGAAAAACCACGCCTTTCGCTCCCCGCCCTAACGGCGTTATCACGTTGAGCGCGTCCAGATTCAAAATCGGCACAATGATATTATTTTCTTGGTCATGGTTGTTCATGGTAATGGAAGGAAGCGAAACCGACAGGCCAGCTACTGTCTCGCGGCTAAAACTGGCGAGATTGTTTTAGAAAGACGATGGAGAATTTTGTGAAGCGGAAATTTATAAAGAGGAAAGAGAGTTTGAATGATGAGTTGAGAACTGTGCTTTGATGGTTTGCGTTTGGCAGTTTGGTTTTTCTTGGTGACGAAGAATTCAAGTTTTTTACTGTTTTGCTTTTTCACGAGAATAGTGTGGATTTTCCTGTCTTTAGGTGGCTATCATAGCGTGATTTGAACACGTGATATTTTCGGTCCTGTTGAATGACGTGGCGAGATCTGAGGGGTTTTGCAAATGGAGAGGGTGAGAGTAAATTAAGTCAAAAAGTAAAAGTAAAATTTGTTTTTGTGACCGCGATGATTACGTTTGTATTTCGGGAACGTAATATTCTACTTCTAGAAGCTATGCAAATTCAAAATGTTGAAACTTCAAACGCGTGCGGCCGGTTGCGGAAATGAAATTGTTATCACGTTTGCCAGGTTCTTTCCTTTCTACCAAATGTAATTATTTTTTTCCCATAAAAAGAACTTGTGCTCCAAGTTTCAAATCCCATGTTAAATATGTATAGTTAAGGGTTGGATAGATTATGAATCTTAAATTTGAATTAAAAGTTTATTGAGTTAATAATTAATAATTAATATCAAAGCGCATTAAGGAGTGATATTTATTATCATTTTATAAATTACATGAAGCAGTTTTATCTTTTCATCTAATAAGTTACACTACATCTATTCTATAATACTTGTCACATTTGAAATTTCACATTGCTTAAGAAAATTATTAAATGTGTCTAGGTTACAATAAATTATCAAATAAAATGACTATATTACCATTTATTTAATATTAATTCTCCAAAACAATCATTAAATTGAAATAATAATTATTGGTCATATACAAAGGGTAAATATGAAAAAAAAAAAAATTTAGTACTTCTGGAAACCATAAATGTGACAAGTATTTTGGAACAAACTATTTTCTCAAATGTGACAAGTATTACAAAACAGCGATGGTATACCTTATTGAATCAATTTTAAAAATAAATTTATTCAAATAAAATTTGACTGGAAAATTTAAATAAAAAAATAAATAGTTTATTGCTTCAGTTTAGATAAACAAGCTTATTTCTTATCATCGAAATTATTTATTAAAGGCTGAATTTGCCCTTTAATTATCAGTTTTTTTTTTAGAAAATAATTCTTTTAAGAATACTTGAGATGCAAACATTGATCATCCAAATTTTTTACTACTTCTAATCTATAATACTTGTCATTTGGAATTTCATGTCATTAAAGAAAACCATTATATTTATTTGAGCTATGATAAATTATTGAGTAAATCGATATATTATCCTTAAATTTAATACTAATTTCCAAAAAAACCCATTAAATTGAAGTAATAATTATTAGTCATATACAAAGGGTAAACATAGAAAAAAATATTTATTACTCTTTGAAACCACAAATGTAACAAGTATTTTAAATACGTGTCACATTGAAATTCACAGTTGCTAATATTAAAGACATTATTGAGAAGTGCCATACATAATAATTATCAAATAAGAAACTGATATACCATGTTATTAATTATAATTCTCCAAAACAATCCATTAAATTAAATAATAATATTGTCATATACAAAGGAAATATATGATAAAAAAGAAGAAAACATTAATTTTATTAGTTCTGCTGAAACCAGAAATATGTTGACTCAATGTTATTTCTTGATACAAAACTATTTTTTTTGTGTCTCAACATGTACTAAAGTATTACAAGAGAGAGGCAGCGATGGTATTACTCTATGATATGCAATTGTATAAAAAGAAAGTTATTCAATAAAGAAAATGTGACTGGTGGAATAATTAATATAAAAAGAGAATAAATAGTTTGATTGTCTTCTATTTTAGAGAAACAAGTCTTGAATGGGTCACAAGATTATGTAATTAAAAGTCGGTGAATTTTTCCCTCTTAATTATCCACTTTGTTTTTAGAATGTAGATGATATTTTTGTAAATTACTTGAATGCAAACATGATCATCCAAAATTTTTTTACTACGTCGTAGACTGAGGTGGAAACTTGGTCAGTTTTGGACAGTTATGGTCATTGAAAAGGAAAGACCATGGGTATATTTATTTGGAGCTATAATATAATTGATGAAAGTAAAATCGAGTATATTATCCTAAATTATACAATTCCAAAAAAACCCGATTATAAGTTGAAGTAATAGATATGTAGTCATGGATGACGAAAGGAAAAGCTAGTAGAAAAAATGATTGGATTACTCTTTGAAACCACAAAGGTTGAACAAATTTTAAAAAATATTTTTTTAAAAATACATGAATATATTGAAAACGATTTTAAAACATACTTTTCATATTCTCTCCGATCCTAATTTTTCCGGAATCTAGATAGTTTTATACCAATTCACTTTCTTTGCTTTTAAGCGCGCTACTGCTATACCTCGCTGTGAAGATCCGCGGTTGAGGACTATTTCATAAAAAGGAGGGTGGAGAATAAGTCAGTTTATCGGGAGTATTTTGTGTGTTCTAATATAGAGCGTTAAAGATGAAGTGGGGGTAATATTAGTAGAGATGTGTTTCAAATGGATAAAAAGTCATGACAATTGATGCTTGGTGTGACAAATGAAAAAATAATAAAAAATTAACACCTGATTTATTGGGACTTTATGAAAGAAAGAAAAAGACGTAAATTTAAATGCAAGATTCTATTAGGAATTCCGAATAAAATTTAAGTAATGAAATATTTGTAAGAAACGTAAGTGTTATGCATTATTAGGAATCTGTATTTGCCATTCGTTGCAATTAACTAAGCGGAAAAAAAAAGAAAAAAGGGAGGTAGCATAATGGAGTCATCCGAATGAAATGGGGAAAGTTTCAGGATTAATTGAATTGTATGTGGGTAGAGCAATAGATATCTGCTCGACAATGCTGGCGGTGAAGAAGAAAATGTCCAACTAAGAATTTTTCTTTCTTTAAAAAAAAAAAAAGAAAAAAGAAAGAAAGGACTGCTATATGGATGCAAAAGTTTAAATCTCATTTTGAAAAAAAAAAAACCTTTAAAGTTGAAAATTACTGACAGAATCTATGTAAGAAGTAGAAAAGTTTATAAATGGAGCAGCAAATTCACCACCCAAACTTTGTTATTTTACTTCCACGGATAATCCTTGTAACTGTGAAATCCAAGTGTCTGATATGTGCCTCCTAAGAGACTGAATATTTCTAATATGATGCACCACTTTTGAACTACAAATAATAAATTTTAAAGGTATTTTTTCTTTATATTCAAATATACTTAATAAATGTGAAGTTAGCCGTAACTTGTGTACAACAATGATATTTTTATATTTTCAACCATAGGGGGATAGGTTGATATCAATTTTGTCAAATGTATAAATATTTAATAAAATTTTATGTTTACATAATTAGGACTGTTAATAAGTAGATATTTGATAAATCAAAGATCTTCAGTTAAATGCAAAAATTAAAATAATTAAGAAATACACCGTCCTATAAGATAATAAAGTCAAGATAAACACGGATTTTTAAAAAAAAAAAAAAAAAAAGACTTTGCTTATAATATGCAAGGTTGAAATCGTCATTTTGAGAAAAAAAAACCTTTTAGAGTTAAATTACTGTACAAATTTTCTATGTAAATATAAAATTTTATTAAATACACAAATTCACACCAAAACTTTTGTTATTTTAGCTCCACAGTATCCTTAACTTTGAACAAGTCTTATTGTGCTCCTAAAATTATAAATTTTAATAATATTGCACACTTTTTATACTACTAATAATAAATTTTAGGTATTTTTGTCTTTTATATTCAAAATACTAATATAATGTGAAGTTACCGTAACTTTTACAACAATAATTTTTATATTTTTCAACCATATTATTTAGTTGATATAATTTTTCAAATTAAAATATTTAATAAAATGATTTTACAAATTGAACTGTTTAATAATATAATTTTATAAATCAAAATCTTCAGTAAATCAAAATAAAAATTAAAAATATCACTAAAATAATAAAGTCTAAAGATTAAATCACGGATTTAGCTATAGAATTTATCTTAAACCGTTAGATTTACAGATTTACAACTGGAGACACGCGCTCGCCAGAAACGAAAGGGGAGAGAGAGAGAGAGAGAAACGACGATGAGGCTACAGCGGGGACAAGGTGCCTTCGCCGCTGGTCAGCTGGAGCGGCTATCGGAAGTCGGAAAGAAAGTGACACTGCCGCTGGAAACTAGAGAGGAGAAGAAATTTAGGGCCAAACAATAATTTGCAATTTTCTAGGGTCTTCTAGAGTGATTTAGGTCCGATTTTGGTCCAAATCGTGAGTTTTATTTGATTTTAATTTGTTTACAGGTTTGATTTAACAAATATAAGTTTTTTTTTCCCTTAAATTTTATTAAATAATCCCATTGGCTAGAATTGACAATTTAATTTTTAAATAAAAAGTCTCCTAAAATAAATTTTCGGATTGTTTCATTGAGTGAGTGTGAATATTATTTATTTAGTTAGTTATTTCAATTTAACTGTTATTGTTACATTTGATTTATAAAAAAATTTGAATTATTTATCCGAACTTTAATTTTTTAATTATTAATAAATTAAATTATTTTTTCAATTGATTTTTCTTTTTTTTTTAAATTAAAAATAATTTATCGTAGCATTGCGCGAGTGTATCCACTTATTAAATAATATTTTAAAGTCGGTTATCAAACAAAGCGATACAGTAACTTAATCAAATTGAGAAGTATTTTTATTATAATTTAATTGATTCAGATGTTTCTTAATTATCCTGAAAAAAAAAAAAATCTTAAGTCACATGTGGAAGTAAATTGAAGAATAGTAGAAGTGGAAGATAAATTAGATATACCTCCTAAATTAATATAAACCACTTTTTATTACAATTAATATAATTTACTACTCTCAATAATTTCCTTTTCTACTACTCTTAAGAGGAAAATATTATTGTATTTGCACGGGCGTAACCACTTTAGGGCTTGGCTGGGAGACACCGATCTGAAAATTTTCAAGATTTGGCCCCAAATGTTTTAAATTTTAATTTTCTCTTCTAAATTTTTTGCAGTATATATTTTCATAAATATTCATATTAGGTCCCCAATTTTTCTTTCGGTTTTTTTTTTTCCTCCTATTTTTGGCCTCTTCAGTACTTAAACTCTAGGTCTGCCTTTGATCACTTGTAATCTAATTATTAAGCTTTCATAATTTATTTTGCATATTTAATTTTTATTTTCTTATACGAAGGAAATTTCTATATTTACCAGGTCTTAAATATGCAAATTTACTAACTTTTATTCTCTTATATTTTCAAGAAAAACAAATTTAGTTGCCCTGAGCCAATTTCGAATCTCTCAGACTCAATATGATTTAGCTGCACAAAAATCGACAAGCATGTAATTTATAGCTTTGAGTTTAACTCTAAAATTTTGAGTTTAGAATTTAATTAAGCCTTTTTTTATATTTGATAAATATTTATAAAAGCTTGATAAAATTTGATGAGCTTTCGAGCTAAACATCATTAAGTTTAAATTCGAGCTCGAACTCAATTCATACAGAATATTTTAAAATTTTTTTCGAATCGAGCTCAATCGGCTTGTGAGCGGACTCAAACTCATGCTTGCTTATTTACACTTTGAGCTGAGAATTTCAATTTTGAAGTTTAGAATGGGCCGTTATTAAGAGTTGAGGTTGAAACTGAAAGTGGGCTTCATTGGATGGCAAGGAATAATAGATCCACTAGCCTGTTCATCGTTCGCTGCAAACCCAGGCCTCATATTTTAACAGTAGTAGAGTTTGAAATTTATCATTTTCTTTTTTCCTAGTATTATTTCCGATTTTTCCTTTTCCCAGATAATTTTTTTAATTAAAGCTCCATTCATTTTTTTGGAAAATAAATTATATTTTTAAAATGATTTTCAGAAAAATATTTTTCTTCAAAATAATTTTCAAATAACTCATTTTTTATAATTATAAATATATTTTTGTACTCAATTAAATATTAATTAATTTTTAATATTAGAATCAAAATAATATTTTTATGGTCTTATAAATTAAATATTTTAATTTCTTTAACTCATTTTTAATATTGGAACCAAAATATAAATCTAGTAGTTTAAAATTTATTATTAAATATGAGAAAAATATATAAAAAATAAATTTTGATCGATGACGTGTGGTGATGGTTGACAATGATTGATGGTGATAGTTACCGATGATTCAATCAATAAATATATATTTATAATGTTACAATAAGTTCATTATTATTCAAAAAATGTTTTCATTTCTTGAAAAAATAGAAATTATTTTCCTTAAAAATGAATTAATTTTTTTTATTAAAAAAATATTTTTTCTTGATTAATTTTCTTTAGCACTCCAAATATAATTTATTTATGTTTGCTAAAACTATAATGATAATAATAAGATGAAAATATAATATTAAACAATGTAACGAGTTACACTATTAAATGGCAAACAAAATAATAATGGAAAAATTATAGTATGGTATCTGGAGTTTGTGAAATACAATTAGTCTATTTCTGTACTTTTTAAATATATCAATCTGTATCTATGTTTTACTTCCGTTATACTACTATGTTTTTATGACTATTTTTTGTATATTTTCCGTTAAATCAACAAGAAAACACATATGCTAAAAGAGAAATTTTTAAAATATTATATTAAAAAAATTACATTTCGTCTTTATAGTTTGAAAAATACAACTAATTTATCCCTGTGATTTTGAAAATAAAATGAATATTTTTGTCATTTTATAAGTTATTTAACAGAAAAAATATAAAAATTAGATAAAAAAATTTTATAGTCCGATGAAAATAAAATAAAAAAATATTTTAATTTATTTTGAAAAAGATAGGAACGAATTAATTATATTTCGCAAATCAGATAGATCGTATTGTAATTTTTTCTATAATAATCTAACATTAAAGAAAAGTGAGGAGTTATCAACAGGTGTTGCGATTAGCCATTGGACGCTTCTCTCGGTAAAAAAATTCGACGACGGATGGAGCAAATACTTCTTGTTAATTTTAACCCAGCGTTTCTAACACTAGTGAAAACTTTTTTTTTTTTTATGGTTTATTAATCATGTCTAATCATAATAATTAATAGTAACAATTATTATTATTTTGTGGGTCAGGTTTGGTGCGCTTGTATATTTTACAGAGCACGTGATAGCTCTCTAAACAAACAAATAAACAAAACCCATATATACTGAGATAAAAACGAACAAAAAACATTACTCGTCCGAGACAGCCGACACGTTGCGAATTACGAAACAAGACACCAATCTGGATAAGCAAAAACAAACGACCGGTCAGTAAATCACTCCACTTTCCTTCAGTTTGTCTCCACTCTCCGTCACGCTTACAAAAAACGCCTCTCTCTCTCTCTCTCTCCATAATATAATGGCGACGTGTTTTGCTGTTTTGGCGGTTGTCGACCATCTAGCTGATTTAGCGTGAATGGAGACACGGAGGCTCGCTGTTCTCTTCTCCCATCTCCACCCCGTATCTCCCCGTGCCGGTTTGGCTCGCACCTGCTTTTCGCCTTCTAACTGTGTTTCTGATGAGAAGCGGAATCAGCAAAACGACTGCGTTTTCTGCAAGATTATTCGTGGAGAGTCCCCGGCTTTTAAGGTAGCTTAATCTAATTTAGCTAAGCGGCTTTTCAACTTTCTATTAGAATTTACAGATTAAAATTGATTGAAGTTTTCAACTTTCTAAGCTTTTCTGAAATTATTTGATTTAACGGTAACTGTAATAACAGTATTATAAAACTTGCCTCGAATTGAAATTATTTTTCTTTTTCCTATTTCTTTGCTGTTATCTGAATCTTGCAGCTTTATGAAGATGATACATGCCTGTGTATTTTGGATACGAGCCCACTGACTCATGGGTAAGGTATTATTTATCCAAAGCATAATTGTACTTTGTTAGCTTATACTTTTTTGTTTCTTGGCTTTTTTATTTATAAAAAAAGAATATGTTTTTGGAAGAAAATTAATAATAATAACGGAATGTCCCCTGTTGTCAGAAGTTTAAACTGAAGTTCCTTTTACCAGTATTACCCTAAATCTTACTGTACTTCAGCTGATTATGCATATGCAGCATTGTAAATTATAATGATATCCAAGTTCAAAATTTATCTTGTTATTTTATGAAGGTTGAAATAAACAGTTTCTTATATGTTCTGTTACTCTGTTATATTCAGCTATTATTTCTTATTAACATCTGAATGATTATAACATTTCCATGCTTACTATTTGCTAAACCTCTGTTTGTTTCTCAGGCACTCTCTTATTATCCCAAAATCTCATTTTTCTTGCTTGGAAGCAACTCCTCCATCTGTAAGTATTTTCATTTGATGCAATTACTTTTCAGGTCTTTATGAATTTTGTAATTTTTGTTAAGCAGACATTTATAGACATTGAACAGAGCCTTTATGTTCCCATTTCAACTTTTTTCTGAAATTTTTTTTCAATATATTAATGGCACACTTTCAATGGTTTACCAACTTAAAGTATGCTAATTCTACGTAATACTGATGTTGTTGTTGTTGGATTAAATTTCCATTCCAAGTCATGTTAATTACAAGTTATGCTTTGATCATGTTTCAAACAAAGTATTGTTTCTGTGTTATGTCTTACAAATAAGGTGTAAATGTGTAAACCGGGTGGTGCTTGCTTAGCTTGGCTTTTGTCTATCTTGGAGGTGACCACTTGAGTCTTTAGGCATCACCTTTTAGGTTTGACTTTACAACACCTAAGGTGAAAACCCGAAGGATAATGGACTACTATAAATCGTTACCTAGAAGCTTAATTTTCTTTTTTGTCCTTCGGGTTGGCCTTTTTATTCAGTTTTGCCAGATAAATGAACAAGCATGAGCATTTTCCTCTAGTGACTGTATATCAATGATACAGTGGTATAGTGCATATTTAATTGTTTTTGCAGGCCTTTAAGTGGGCTTCCACAAATATTTAATAGCGACTGGCCTGTAATTGTTTGTGCATATTCAGTGGTACTGATATATTGCATGTCATTAAGACTGTACTCACTTTATATTCTTAAAACCACAACTCAATTCCGTGCAAGTGATATGAGAAATTTGGTTCTGTATCAGTATGCTGTAGTAGAAAGAGCCCAATATATGTTCCTCTATTTCTGTTACAGAGAAGAAAAGATAAAGAGTGCTGTAAAATTTGCCTATAATATATTCTTGCTTTAAAATCAAGAATTTCTAGTTTGTGAATTGTGAGAAAGACAAGATGAAAGAGATGGAGAGGTAGGTGGTTGTGTCCTAATAGAAGAAAAAAATTTTGATTCAATTTGTGAGCACACAGAGTGAGACTTTGTCTTCTAATCTTATTGATGCAACCGTGCAAGTTATGTGGGCTCTTCTTTTACATTGTACTTTCTGAATGGACTGTACTTTTGAAAAAAAGAAGCCGTTCACCACAAATTAAGGAATGAAAATAGCAGGATTAGGCCATGTAACAAAAAAAATGATCAATTTTATTCTTTGCACTATGTTCAAATCCTAAGCAATCAACTCTCATCCAGCCCAACAATAGATACGTGGCTTCTCTTTTTATCACCCTCCTGTAAATACAGGGGGCTTAAGAAAGACATTTTTGTTTCCAAGATAAATGGATTCCTGGACTGGTGTCCAAAATGTGGATATGTACTGGTATCCCAAAATTTCATTTTTTGTTCATCACCAATATGGTTAGACTTATGAAAGAGGGAGGGATACTCCCCAGTTATATATATCTCATAGCTATTATGCCCGTTTGGCATCCTTGTGAACCAGGAAACAATTGATTTTAAACTTTTCTTTTGAGTTGAATACATACTGTGTCCAAGAACCCTGATCCAGTCTTTCCTATGTTCATAAAACATAGGTGCGAAGCTATAGAAATAGATCATTCCTCAACTCTTTTTTCTTCAAATAAATTAATTCTTGCTATGCATCTTCTAAGGAATTGGATTGCAGGTGGTTGCAGCAATGTGTTCAAAAGTGCCTTTTATTGGCAATGCAATAATGAAAGCTACTGGTTCTGGTATGTGTTCAACATTCTCTCCTGCTGCTGTGACCAACTTATTTCTCTGTTTTTACTTGGACATGGCTTTCCTGGTTACCAATCCATTTATTTGGTTTATGCTTTATCCAAGTTTACTTATATTGTAAAAGGATGGGAAATTAGCTTTTCTAAATGGAATATTAGGGCTGGCCAGGTTGGACCAAGTTAACAAGCCACTATGCACACTTCTTTTGATCCAGCGGCTTGGTTATATACAGCTGCTTAATACCTCTAACCCGCACATAGTCAGATCTGGTTCCTTGGGCCATCAATTTTTGCACCACCATGGGAAACATGACTTGTTCTTTTGAATGGCTTGGAAGATGAAAAACTGAAATGCAGAAATAATCTAAACTCAATCATAATTTGACAATAAGATTTACAATTAATCCCATACACTTAAATAGGCTATTGTCATGGAGAGTTTGGCCACTGATTTTATATTGTTACTATGTATTCTCTTATATATGAGTGCTGGAAGTTGTGTGTGTGATGGATTGTGTTATCTTTGGTTGGAAGTGGCTTGGAGACGAGCGTGAAAAAGCTGAATTGACATCAGACTTTTGAGGCGTAGAATACGATAGTGAGGACTGAGGCAGGATATGATAGGAAATCGCTAGATCTGGATGAGTGCTATGTGTAGTGAGCGTCGCATCGAACTAATTTGAGTTCGCATTAAGATTGAGCGTGAGCATCTACAGATTAAATAGCCATAAGCACGTTACAATAGGGCCGTATTGGGTCCTGGCGAGAGAGTTTGGCACTCAGATTTCTATATCTGTTACTGAATGTACTTGCGCTCTTATATATATACTATTATACTATATATATACTATGTACTATATAGTCACCCTGCTTGCAATATATATCACCTGCTTGCATTACTTTCTTTTCTAGTTTATCAGAAATAACATCATATTCTTTTGGACCATTTCTAACATAACTTCAACTACACATAGTAAACTGCAGCATGATTTGAACTTTCATGCAGATTCATTCAATTTGTTGGTTAATAATGGTGCAGCTGCAGGCCAAGTAATATTTCATGTAAGTTGTTTTGAAATTTTGTTCAATTAGAAAAAAAAAAAAAAGATCTTTCTAGTAAATCCATTATGATTTATATTGTATTTGTTTTTTCAATTTCAACTGAATCGAAGTGAGACCACTTTGTTATTTATTATTTGTCTGGAAAATGAATGTTTTCAATCATTTACAGCAACAAATAATGGATTAATGGTTGACTGTGCTGACTTTGCCTTATAACATGGAAATTTCAGACCCACATCCACATAATCCCCCGAAAGGCGAGTGATTGCTTGTGGACCACTGAGGTATGCATTACTTCTTTATGTGCTTTTCTATTCCAGCATATAAGAGAAAATTCTACTGGGAAAGAGTATGATTGTTGTATGATTGTTGATGATTACAGAGTTTGCCAAGGTGTCCCTTAGATTTCGATCATAGAGCTTCCCAGCTTGTTAATTGCGTTCGCAAGCAGTTATCTAATATTTCCGAAGAAGGCAAGGGTCAAGAATCTAGTCTCTCTTGAAATTATAGATCTTTTCTGCAATGTTTTATGCATACAAATATGAGCTTGTACCATAAGAATGTATAGTCCCATTCGTTTGAGTAGGTAGGTACCTTGAATGACATGCAATGTTTTGCTGTATTCTCTGTTGGGGGTAACTTGATTTTTAGTACCCAGCAATAATTGTGTTTTTTTTTTCGTAATAGAGGTTGGAGTAGGTAGTAGCGCTTGCGTTAGGTGTGATCGTCAGGAGTTGGTTGTGACGATAGTAAGATGTGGAACTATGGGAGTTGATAGTAGGGAGAGTATATAGACTCTGAAGGGTACGTCGCTCGACGATGAGGTAAGTGATGTTCTGTAGTAGATACTGGGGTATGAGTGAGTAGTGGGCCTGTATGATTTTTAGTACATAGCAGCCAATAATTGAGTGTTTTTATTTTTGTGGGGGGGGGGGAGGGAGGGTGGCGCGGGGGGGGGGGGGCGGGGGGGGCGGGGGGGGGGGCGGGGGGGGGCGGGCGGGGCGGGGGGGGGGGGGGGGGGGGGGGGGGCGCGGGGGGGGGGAGGGGGGGGGGGGGCGGGGGGGGGGGGGGCGGGGGGGGGGCGGGGGGGGGGGGGGGGGGGGGGGGGGAGGGGGGGGGGGGGGGGGGGGGGGAGGGGGGGGGCCGGCGGGGGGGGGGGGGGCGAAATACAGAAAAGACAAGAGCACAGAAATTTGTTAGCTTCTTGAACATTTTTCATAACTACAGAAAACAGAAGGGGGGCGAAATAAAGAAAGAAAAGCACCCAGAAATTTGTTAGCTATTTGAACATTTTTCATACATACAGAAAACAGAAGAAATGATCGAGTATTGTTTCTTGTTTTAGCTTGTTCTAGATTAGTTTCTTCCATCGTAGCAAAGTTTTATATTTCTATCTTTTTTAAAAATTTTAAATGCTTATATCTAGCTATTTCTCCCTATAATATATTTTAAAATGAGTAATTATTTAGTTCTTTTAATTTACAAGGACTTTTGTTTGGAGAAATCATCGAGTAGTCTATCTTTGTTGCCAATTAACTAAATAGTGTTTTCGTAAATTTTTCATATAAATTGAATTTCCTTTTGCATACCACGAAATTAAACCTCGAGCTTTTCTTTATTCTAAATATTTTATCAATTTTAATTTATAAATAAAAACTTGTTTAAATTTTACGAGTCAAATAAATCCCAAACATACAAGGAAAAGTATTTGCTCTTCATTGGTTATTCGAGGCATTTTAAAAACGTTCCGGTTGAAATATGGATTTCAATTTAAGTTTCAAATTAGTGGACGATGCAACAGAACAGACAGCTGTTAGATTGTTAGGTATGTGTGGCAAAATTAGTTGTTTTAGTTTTAGTAGCTGTTATTTATTTTAATTATTCGAGTTGTTTTTCATGGATCGCTAAAAGTTAAACGCTAATGTGATTTAGTTTTTTTGTTTTTGATTAAGTTTTTTGTTTTTCATTTTTTTCTTTAAAAAATAAACAAAACATGTTTGTTTAAACTTATTTAATTTTTTTTTTTCCTTTGCTTTTGAGAAAACTGTTTTGAAAATAAAAAATAAATTTTATAAAACCACAGACAGTGGTTTATAGAATTATATTTTCTAATTTTAATTCTACATTTCTCATTTTTTTCATTTTTATAAGATTTATCCCCGTAAAAATTATTGTTGTTGTTATTATTACTAATATTTTCTCTATCTTTATAAATCTAATATAATTTATTTATTCAAAATATACAAGCATATATTTTTATCTCTATTCAAATTCTTAACTTTTTTTTCTCTCTCTTCTCTAATATCATTTAGTATTATTTATTTATTATAAATATTTTTATTTATTCAAATATACAAGAGACACTTTTTTTATCTCTAATTCAAATTCTAGACTTTTTTTCTTCTTTGCTGACGCTCTAATCATTTATATCTTTTATTTTTATTATCTTGGGGTCATTAATGTCTTTTTATTACACGAATATACAAGCATATATTTTTATCTCTATTCAAATTCTTAACTTTTTTTTCTCTCTCTTCTCTAATATCATTTAGTATTATTTATTTATTATAATATTTGGGTATTATGTTTTTATTCAACATAATAATCAACATTGAAATTTTAAAATTAAACTATAGAAGTAGATATTAGAATTTATTTATTTTTTCTTAAGAGCAAAATTGAAAAAAGAAATGTTCTGTTTGATTTTCTTGAGTTGACTAATAAAAAATTAGTAAAATCTCAACAGAAGTGCTATTTAATTGAATAACAAGAAAGTGATTTTACAAATTTGACTTTCTATAAAAACCAAAACTGAAAACTGTCGGCACTGTAGAAACTGTTTGCACTGTGTTGAGGGAATTTGAAGTCTTATTTTTGCTTTGAACTCGTATGCTTATGATCTTTTAGAACTCAGAACAGTTATTAGTGATTGTGAAGATATTTTGTAGACTAGGCCTATTAGGTGGAATCGAAGATAAGCGAATATAAGAGCTTACACCCTTGCTCGAGTTTCCTACTCATATACTCGCGTTTATGAGTGGAATAATGTTTCACAATGCTTCTATACCTTTTATTCATATTAATGCATCAGTTTCTGGTGTTCTTATGTTCTTCAATTTTTATCTATAAAAAATAATTATTTCGTTTACGAGGTTTTATAAAATTAATTATCTCGTATTCGTATTTTTATATATTAGTTATTTGGTCTTCTCTCACTCATCTTCTCCACCGTCTTTATTGTTTCAAGAAATAAGAATTCCTTCTCTTTTTCTTTCATTTTCTCTCATTCCTTTTATTTTGCTTCTCATTTTCCTTCACAATGCCAATCAACAAGGACCCATTTGCTCCTCTTTAAGAGCTAAAGAAAATTACCGAACACAGTGTCTATGACTCCTTCCTTCACCCATAAACCGGCTGACATGGATCATATATTTGAGGATTCAGATCAGTATTGTTAATTGAAGATCCAGATCTTGATGGAGAACGGTGCCGTTAATTGAATCCACCTCTTGTGGATGCTTAGCCACTTGGTCAAAGGTTTCATTTTTTTATTTTTTGTATTTTCAATTGTCTGTTTCCTTTTTGTTTTTTTTCTTTTCCTTGATGGGATTGTACAGAGGTGGTATTTAAATTATTTCTCATTTTAATTTTTTGATTTTGGATTATGATGGTGGTTTTCCTTGATGGGATTGTACAGAGGTGGTATTTAAATTATTTCTCATTTTAATTTTTTGATTTTGGATTATGATGGTGGATTGTGGTTAGGATTCTTGAAACTTAGTTGAATGATGAACTATAATGGTGGGTTGGATTTGATTTACTGGAAGTAGTAGTTTTTACGAAGTCTTTTTATTTTGATATTTTTTTAGAATTTGTATAGTTGCAAAAATGAAGATTTGGAGAGATGGAAGAGGAGAAAAAAGGATACTGGCTTTAATTTTGTTTTATCAAAAGAGTATTTTAGTCTTGCATTAAACATTTAACGGTAAAAATCATTAAAATTAGATAGAAAGACCACTTGACGAGATAAATCAAACATTGGAATCAAATATCTACTATACAAAAATATGAGAACGAGATAATTAATTCTGTAAAATGTCAGGGACGAAATAATTATTTTCCACTATCTTATTTTCCTTCTTCATCCATTTCAAATTGTTGTCCTATTTTCTTTTTTGAAAAGTTAATAAGATTTATGTTCTTTTTGATATAAATGAATTTTTAACTTGGAATCTTTCTCCTTAATAGTAAAAAATATTTGGTATAATTTTTAGATAAACGAATTTTTAACTTGGAATCTTTCTCCTCAATAGTATTTCTAAATGAATTTTTTACATTTGGTATAATTAATTAAAAATATATAATTTAATTAAATTCCACATGATCAGGTATGAAAATTCATTTATTTTTGTTTCATAAAATATCTTTGAAATAGTAATTTCACAAAATATATAATAGATATGAATTATATTTATGTTATGCCATATAACTTTTTATAATTTTTTTAAATAAATGTATAAAACAAAAATAATAGTAATAACATTATCGTGTTTAATTCAGTGATAAATGTATATTTAACTTGAAATCTTTCTCCTCAATAGTAAAAAAAAAAAAACTAAAAAATATTAAAACAAAAGATGAAAATATTAAAATAAACAAAATAATGAGAAATAGTTTTCTAAAAAAATAAAATTTTTAAGTGGGTTTGGTTAAGTTTGATAAATAAATAAGTTAAATAAGTAAAAAAAAATTAAAAAATTGACTTTGAATAAGGAGAAAGGTCATTTTGTCATAAAAAGTTGGATTGCTTAGTTTTGTGAAATTCATTTGAAAATTTCACATATTTTTCTGGAATTTTGGTATAGTTATGTTCAATTCCATAAAATCGAATTCCTTAAAATTGGAATTTTTGGTATAGTTTATGGTTCAATTCGCATAAAATCCGAATTCCTTAAATTGAGAATATATTATGATATATTATATATTATATATAATATATTATATATATATATATATATATGATATATTCCAAGACATAAAAATATGGATTCTAACAAAAGACGTTAAAGTTTACTATCCTTTTTAATATGTTTTCTTTGCCAATAAATACAATGTTCAAATTACTATATTATTACTATTTTTGAGTATTAAGTAAAATCTTAGATATAAACAAAATTAACATATCAATATATATATATATTCAAGACATAAAAATATGGATTTCTAACAAGACGTTAAAGTTTACTATCCTTATTTAATATGTTTTCTTTGCCAATAAATACAATAGTCAAATTACTATATTATTACTATTTTTGAGTATTAAGTAAATCTTAATATAAACAAAATTAACATATCAAGTTTTTAATCTTACAATAGAACTTTATTAAAATCAAATGTTTAATTAATTTTAGAACAATTTAATATGAGTCATTTAATTTTTGTGGATGCAAACATAAGGGTATATGAAGAAAAAATAAAGTAAAAATTATAGTTTAACCATATTGATTAAAATTTCTTAATTCATGTGCAAGTTAAACTAGAACACTAATTATGGGATGCAAGAAGTATTAAAATAGAATGGTTTCAAATAATGTGGTTTTGAATGATTGGTTCCTTATTATCCTATTGCTAATTGGGCAATTTATTTGTTAGTATTGTTTG